CGGCCGGAACGCGACGGCTTCGGAGAGCCTCGTCGTGCCGAGCCGGCGTGGATGAGCTCCGCCGCCGGAGGACACGGCCGTCTGTTTACGACGCTTTGACGTCTTCAATTGGTGCGGTCGGAATTCGCGCGCCCGAAACCTGCCTAGTTGGCCGCATTGTTCCTGCGCATTTGCGCGCTGCGGATGGTCCATTCGTAGGTCACGTTCCTGTGGCCTGAGGAGCGCGACCGATTATGGCGCGGGCTGCTGGGTGTTGGGTTTCCTGTTCAGGTGCTGCTGGCGCCCTCTGGTCGCGCTGCACTGTGCGCGCCGTGAAGCTTCTGTGGAGCTGATGGGGTTTTCGCTGACAGAAGTGACGCAGGGGCGGAGGCCCTGGTTAGATTGATCGCCCACGTGGCTCGTTCGGACAATGGTCCGCACAATTCGCCGATGTGTAAATGGCGTTGTGTCGAGGTGAGGGATTATGTGCTGCGGCCTAATGTTTCATCCAGCCGGCTATTAGCCGAGTTGTGGCGGATCTAAGCCGGTCATGCGTCTTGCCTGTGAAGAGGGGGGGGGGGGGAATCGGTAAGGAATGGCGAGAATGAGAGCGCGCAGTGAGAACGCTAATGGGCTTTGGCTGGGCTCTGTGATCCGTGTACGGCTTCCCAGGGCCGGTCGACAGGTTGCCTTCCGCGGCGGAATGCCTTAATCTGAAGCCCTGCGTGTAAACGTCGCTCCTGCCGAGTTACCCGTCCGGCGCCGGCGGCTCAACGCGACACCCGGGGATCCGCGCCGATCGTATCACTTCAGGTGGCTTGCAACAGTTGGCGGCACCGAAGGACTGCCCGGGCACTATCGGTGCGAGCCGTGTAGCCCGCGGTGGCACGTGGCTACCGAGCCGGCCGCCACGTTCGCCTGAGACCACCCTCCCTGCTCCGGCGGTCCTCCGCCATGGCGCCAGCCAGTCAGTCACCCTCTGTGATTGTCTCGCCACGGGCCACGTCTGGGGGAATGCCTGACAGCTGGGTCGCCGTCGCCCTGGCCGGTGGCGCCACGGCTTCCGCCCGGTCCATCGGCAGCCGTGTGTCCCGGTCTGCCGGCCGACGCGTGCCGCGGTCAGTCAGCTGCTCCGTCACCCGGTCAGTCAGCTGCCCCGTCACCCGGCCAGTCAGCTGCCCCGTCACCCGGTCGTCACCCGATCAGTCAGCTGGCCTGTCACCCGGCATCACTGCCTGTCACCCCGGTCAGTCAGCTGGCCGTGTCACCCGGTCAGTCAGCTGGCCTGTCATCCGGTCAGTCAGCTGGCCTGTCACCCGGTCATCACCCGGTCAGTCAGCTGGCCTGTCACCCGGTCAGTCAGCTGGCCTGTCACCCGGACAGGTCAGTTACCCTGTCACCCGATCAGTCAGCTAACGTGTCATCCAGTCAGTCAGCTGGCCTGTCACCCGGTCATCACCCGGTCAGTCAGCTGGCCTGTCACCCGGTCATCATCCGGTCAGTCAGCTGGCCTGTCACCCGGTCATCACCCGGTCAGTCAGCTGTCCCGTCACCCGGCCATCACCCGGTCATCACCCGGCCAGTCAGCTGGCCTGTCACCTGGTCGGCCAGTCAGCTGGCCAGCTGACCTGGTCCCTGGTCCGTCCTGCCTGACTGGGCCGTCCGCAGTCCTGTACTCGAGTGGGGACACCTCCTGCCGGGTGATGCACCATCCGGAACCGGGCATGCGGCGTCGGAATGCTGCCATCCGTCAGCGTCTCCTTCCTGCATCAGCCAGGACGCCTGTGGCCGCGGAGAGAGGCTGGGGCTCCCAGCCGGCGATGTGGCGGCGAGTGGACAGAGGGGAGGCCGGGGTCCCTAGCCGGCGGTGTGGCGGCGGGTGGACAGAGGGATGAGGCTGGGTCCCCAGCCGGCGGTGCGGCGATGAGTGGAGGCGTGTCCGGCGGCGCCCCCCGTCATAAAGCCGTCAGTCTGTGGTGCGGCAGCCGATGCGCCGGCAGCTGCCGCCGCCCCGCAGGCGTCTCCGGTGGCAGATAATGACGGCGCGGGCAACCGATAAGGCGCGCGCGGCGCACTCAGTATCGGCCGCCGGCGCCGCCGCGGGCGTGGGAACAATTTCACGCCGGCGGCCGCGCCGACCGGGAAGCGGCCGCCGAATTGCTGGCGGTCAGCGAAACTGTGTCACGACTGGCGGCGGGGAGCGGCGCGACACGCGTTCGCTGGTCGGGGCGGTGGGGACCGACGAAACGCGGCCCGCTCCGAATCGATGGGCGCCGCTGTCGATGGTGGCGTGCGTTGTCGGCAGCAGAGCGGAGTCGACAACACGCACCGAAAGTCGGCTTCGCGCGCCGCCTTTTGCTTCGGAGCAGCTCGCGAGAACTAACGGGAGGGTGGGAACGGGGAGCTCGAGGGAGCAGCTGGTTGGCGGAGGAATGCGCGCGGGCCGGGTTTAGGGAAGGGAAGGGGACGCATTGCTGCGAGATCGCGTCCCCTCCCGGCCTGTCTCGTATTTCATCCACTGCGCGGCGCCCGCTTGCACAGGGGCGGAGCGAGCGCCGACCGGAAGCGGGGCAAAAAGGATGGGAACGCCGCAGATAGATCAGCGACGCCGCTGCTTTCACACGCGGCGCACGGACGTCGCGGAGGGCGCGCATCTGCCGTCCGTCTGTTTTTGCCGCCCCGCCACCGAGCGTTTGGAGGGTATAGCCATTAGCCGTGCGCACCGTCATCCATCACCGCCTGTTTATTTGGCCGCTGCTGCGTGTTTGCAAGCGGAATTCGCCGCGAGCTGTGCGCGGCGAGTGGAGACCCGCTGGGTGGGCGAGATGAGGCCGTCACGCCGGCACGGCTCTCGGGTGTCCCGCCGGGCGCGGTGCCGGCTCCCGTCCGCGGGCACGGGCGCGGCCGGTTTCACCGGCCTGTCGTCGGTGGAAGGTCCCGTGCCCTCTCTGCTTCGCAGCACTGCGCAGAAAGTGAAAACTGCGCGCGTTCCCACGCCCTGACCCGGGGCCGCCCTCGGTTTCACCCGCCGGTCAACGGGTCACGGCGCGCGCCTCCGATGCGTGCGCTGCGGCGGCTCGGCCGACCGTTGCGGCTCGCCGGCCGTCACCCCGCGCCACAAGGCCTCACGCCGCCGGCTGTCGCCTTGCTACAGGGCCTCACGCCGCCGGCTGTCGCCGCTACAGGGCCTCACGCCGCAGGCCGTCACCGCGTCACGGGGCCTCACGCTGCCGGCCTACACAAAGCGTGACGCTTGCTCATCTTTCGCTCATCGGTTGGATGCGTCACCTAAGCCCTGAGTTTTGTCCAGAGCTGCCCGGCTGGTCGGTAGTGGCGGCGTTCACCGTCGTGTCCCTGACGCCGGGAATGTGACGAGCATGCCCACGTAAGCGATGCCAACGGTGCATCTGCGACAGCGGTCTCCACCTGGGAGCCGGTGGTGCGTGTCTCCATCAGTGAGCCGTCAATGTGTCATTATGTCGTTGATCGTTCACGCACGGGCTGGCTGCGCCACTACCATGGACTAAGTGCCGTGGATGCGGCTGACGTGGCGCACGGTCGCCACACGCACTGGCGTCTGCAGTCGTACGCCGGGGCCACAGCTCGCAAGCTGATGTATGGCCTTTGAATGGCACCGATGGATCCAGCGGAGGACGGACTGATATAAAATTGATGACGGCGATACAAAGATATTTAAAGACCGTCACTGAATCAAACGGCGCAAAGTGGAATCGTTGCGATTGTGAAGGCGTGGTTGGTGTTACGACCGGCCTGCTGGCTTGCACCCCTGGCGGCGTACCACCGGCCGCCTACAGACTCCCCGCACTACTCCGGGCATGATCAACGCGGGATGAACGGCGGACCGACTCCCCCCCCCCCCCCCCCCCCGCCGGGCGTAGACCTGCGCCGCTGCCGCTGGAGACGGGCCAGCAGGATCGGGGGTCGGTCGGTTGTTGGCCAGCCGCTCGCCTCGGTGACACGAGGACGTCTTCGTGGCGTGCGGACGGCGCCTCTGTTGTTGTGGCACTAACTCCGCTGATGAGGTAATTGGCGGTGATGGCCGGCTGGCAGCGCTGCTCGGCGCCGGAGGACGAGGCTGACGTCAGCTCGGGATGCACTCAGCTGCGAATTAACGCGTCCGAATTCCTGCCCACGCACTGCGGCAGGACCGATGGGAATTCTGCACTCGTTCTCGGTCCAAGCCTGTGCCATTTCTGATCACGCCCGTCGACATTCGTGTGAGGACTTCGTTCCGATCGCCTGAACCATTGTTAAGTTCATGGCACAGGGCTGCGCGAACTGCACTGCGACAGTTTATGTGAACAATCAGCTAAGCGCTCGCGGTTACTATACGTCTGCTGCCAAGCCGGTGCCATGCCCCATCACACCACGCGAGCGCTGCGGAATTCCTGGAGCTTTCCCCCCCCCCCCCTCACCCTCCGCCTGGCCTTCGCAATGTCCTGTCTGCACCTCGTCTTACAACGCACACAAGCCCTCGTAAAACATCAGGTCACAGGTGGAGAGGGCGAGCACACTGCATAGCGCGTCTCGCAAATGGCGTCGCACGCGATCCGGGAATTCTCTCTGTGCCGAGCCGGCTCTGCGTCTCCTCGCCTCGCCGCGCCCGGCGCTGCGCTTGTTTACGATTGGCTCAGACGGCAGGCAGATCGGAATCCGCCATCAATGGAACTGTGATCGACGCTCGCCCGCCCGCGCGTCATATGCGCGCATCGAGCCGGCAGCGGCCGTCGGGCGCGGGCTCGGGCGCGCGGCCTCTGCTCTCCCGTGCCCGTCTCGGCTGCCCGGCGTCGACTCGCGGCGGGGGCGATTCGCCGCGTGACTTGACGATGAGCTCGCAGCTTTTCCGCGGCCGAAATCACGGACGGTTTCACCGGAGCGCGCCGCTTTCCGGAGCGGCGCCCTGCACCCGGCGGTGACTCGGGGTCGTGAGTCACCGAGTCGCCGCGAGTCCGCGCGCGGCGTGAGTCAGCGCCGGCCTGACCCGTCGCGCCCTGTTCCAGGAGCCTGGGCCTGGACCTGGTGCCGCGCGTGCTCGGCTCCATGCTCGACCCGGACGCCATCTCGGTGGTGACCCTGCACCAGGTGGTGAGTACCGAGCCGGCAGAGGGGCGGCAGCGGCGCCTGGTGTCGCTCTGAGCAGGGATCAGCGCCGCGCGCCCTGCCGATGGTGGCAGCATGCGCTGCGTGGTTTGATCATCGGACGTAATGAACTCGGATTGTTTTAATACGCATCCGCTGGGTGTCACCGTGCCTAACACGTGCTGTGAAGGCCAACGTGGTAACTGTCACTGCGGGGGTGGAAGTGATCGTTGTGGTCTGAGTGGTAGTGATCGCTGTTGTCTGAGTGGTAGTGGACGTTGCTGTCCGAGTGGAAGTGATGCATCATGCTGTGCCGTTCAGCGATTTAGTGCACCCTTGTTCATTGAACAGGTTTGCCCCACATGAATGTGTCACGTGCCAGCAAAGCACAATGTGGCACGTTTGGCCGCGGTGGAAAGCCAGAGGTCTCACTCCTGTGTAACGTCAGGTTCGGCTTTGCCCCGCGCTTGCAGTGTTGCGTTTGTGACGCGTAGTAAATGCACAGCATGCACGCGAGCGCACCGCCCGTGAACGCGAAATGCTCGTGAATCACAATGAATCACTGGTCACCGGCATGAACCGGTCCCGCTACTGGCTGCGCAACCCATGAGCGGCCACTAGTGCGGGGGACCATTGCGTCAAGTCCGGCGGCGGCTCTGTTTTGAATGGCCGGCACGCGTGGGCGCTCAGATCTGTGGGGTGATTCGCGTACCATGCCTGACTGCGCCGACCACCGCCATCACGGCCGTCCTGTTGCGATTACCGCCCGCCTCGTCCGGCTGCCGCGGCTGGACATGTGTGCAACGTCGGCTGGCCGGACCGCTCGCAGGTCTGAGTCGGTCGGCGCCGTGCGTCTGCCGTGGACAGACTGTGATGCTCGGGGTCAGGGGAGGGTGCCGTGTTGGGGGTGATGGCACCCATCGCCGGCACCCGCCGACGGTATTTGGACCAGTGTCCGGAAACCGCTGAGAAGTAGTTCAGGCACGCGTGGCAGAAAGGAGACATGGTGGGAGCATTGTGCGTGCGCGCGTGGTATGTAGGCCCTAGGTGTGAACCTTGTACCGCTTCCCATCGCCCCTCGTTCGCGCCTGATAAATCGTTGTGTGCTGTTATAGTGTGCCGACTGTTGCGTGCGTGAAGTGTGTTTTCGCTACCGTAATTATGAACTCGTCCCATTTCTTTGTAGGAGGTAGGGGCTACAACCCCAAGTAGTGAGCATACGGTCAAAAGGGACTGCACTGTAGTGGTTTTTGATCAAGAGGGTTATGTTAACGCATCCCCAACCCGTTAAAGAAGCATTTATCGTGCTAGCGTACCGTAAGTACAGATGAGTTAGGTTTATGGTTTGCTATCAGATTCATTCGTTGGCTTATCACCTATCAACATCGTTTGTCCATCATCGCCGAAGCCTCAGTGATCGTAATTGGATTTCACAGCCGTCAGTTTGTTACGTGACGTCGCTGTGATCATGTGAAAGTGATCGGAAACTTTCTTCAGCGGCACTGTTCTAAAAACGCCACAAGCTGACAGAGCGTGGGTTTTCACCGACATGCTAATGAATAACCTACGGCCAAAATTTCACTTTCAACCTTCGGCGCCTGGCTTTTGCTGGCCGTTAAAACATGCGGACGCTCGGCGACCGACAGCATGCTTGCGGACGGCTTTCGATGGCGGGCCGGGCCGGCCGTGACGGCGTGGTCTAATGACGCTTATCGCCCGTCTTACTGCCGGTCCGCCCTTTGTCGTCGGCCGCCGCGGATCATTTGTTTTTGCGCCAGCGTGTTTTGCTCCGTCGTTTCAAGGCTGGAGCCGCCTTCCGTCCGCGCCGCAATGGTCGCAACGCCCGGCGCTCTCGTCAACGGGGCAATTACGTCCGCGGCGACCCGGGGCGCCCTGTTGTGACTCAGTGGCTTCCGAGAGGCGCGCGGAGGTCAGGGCGGCTGGGACGATGACCGCAGGCCATGAGGCCGGAACCGGCCCGGCTTTGATGCGGCGCTGACGGCTCGCTCCTTGTTTCAGCACACCCAGAGTCTGGAGACGTCGCAG